AATATAAAGTAATAAAAATAAAAATATACATAAATAATAAAAACCAATTTATTGCAATAATTATAAATAATTATTAAAATAAGAATACGCGTATTTTCTTTATCGGTAAGAATGAGTTTTGACATATATCGATAGACAATAAAATCATTATCTACATATTCAACAAAATCGAATCTTCATTACCGACTTCGATTTCAAATTCCGGATTCCGTTTCGAACTGGATGAGAAGAGATTCGGAGCTCGAAATACCTCCGACATTTTCGATATAACGGTCAAATAATAATCACGAGGTAATTATAATATACGGAATTAAAGCTAATTAATGATTTCGCAGAGAAACATCTTGTCTCTCTGACGACATATTCGATTCACATTTATATATGTTTCACGAAGCAGAGTAAAATCTACTCCGCGTAATGGCCGATTTCGTGAGTGATATCGTTAAAGCCTAATATTTTTCCACAGATCTCTGGATCTGATATGCCAAGGGGCTACCGCCCCGGAAAGGTAAAGACATCAAAGAACGAACGACGGAATATAGGGCTGGGGACCACTCGCAGGCAAGTGAGTGAAAAGCGTGGTTAACGGAGCAGGGGTGAGGAGGTGCGGTAACGGAGGGGGGAGAAGGAGAGAGGGGAAACCCAGCAGCGGCAGACTGGCTGGTGGAGCGAGTTCGAGAATGCGCGAGCGAGAGAGAGAGAGAAAGAGATAACTACAGGGAGTATGCACAGGAACGGACGCTGCGTGACGTCCCCGAGAGGGACTCGGGGCCTTTTATTTCCCCCTTTGACGGAAACCGACTTTTGAAGTGGCCGATGCCACTCTATGTCGTCGCAAAAGCTAATATCGTTCGAAGGTAATTAACTTCGCGTCTTCTTTTGTTTCTCTCTTTATCCAACACAATATACCTTAATTATTATTGATCCGGAAAGTGACGTAAGAGAAATATGTTATATTTATATCAATACACACATATTTTTTGTACACTCTGTAGATAGTTATATATGAGTTGATAGTTATAGATTAAAATAAGAAGTATATTAAGGTAAGAGAATAATAGAATGAAAATATTTTCAAAAATAAAAGAAAATCGATATTGATAAGACTATGGATGCTGAGATCATGCGACAAATCCTTTTTGACGCAGGGTCGAAGAGGAAGAGGAGCCCTAACGCGAATGGAATGCACCGGGATGGCGGACATCGACGCGGCGGTCCTGGCGATCGGGGCGAGCGAGTGGGGGGGCTTCCCCCCCCGTTAGCGGAGAAGGAAGGGGCCAGTAGAATGGAGCGCGCTGGAACGGGGTCCGGTGCGCACACGTTCGACGCGCGGCCTTGCCTAAACCCTCGCTCGCTCTCTCGTCGCAGCGCGATTATCGTGGGAATAGCGAGAGAGCTCCTGGACATCGTGACATGTTCGTCGTCGTGGAAGAGACTAGAGGAGTGCCCTGCCGTCTAATCGAAAGTGCCGCGTACCTCGCGATCGGCGTGAAAGAATCGGGAGGAGAGCCTAGGAGAGACCGACATATCACCGACGAGGAGGATACGTCTCTCTCATATATACGTACGCATCAGCGTGGAACTCGGCGAGGCCAGATTCCGCGCGCTAGGACCTGTTGATAGGTCGCGCAGGTGTACACGAAGGAGGGCCCCCGTATTCTCCCCTTCTTTCTCCTTTCTCCCCGCCTCGTCTCGGAGCAACGACGACGAGAGGAGAGAGAGAGAGAGAGAGAGACACATCACGTTTTGGTGTACTCTCGGTGCAGAGCTCTCACGCGCGTTATGACCGCCTGAATTGACAAGAGGATCAACGTGCCTCCTGCCCATCGGGGCCAGACGCCCGGCCGCGAGGCCGTATATGGTGCCGTGGAGGAGAGCGCAGTTATTACGAGGAACAACAGTCGTCGGACAAGGAGCACGGATTTTGAGCGAACGGCCGAGAATCCATCATCGCTGTCGCCGTCATCGTCCACCTCGTCGCCGTCGTCGTCGTCGTCCGCCCCGTCGTCGTCGTTTTCCCATACTCGGACAAACTTCCGACTCGCCTCTTCCCTTCCCTTCTCCCTTCCCTCCCCTCCCCTTCTTCTTTCTGTCTGTCTGTCTGTCTCTCTCTCTCTCTTCAGCCGGACCATCGACGGACACCGGAGAGTGCCCTCCTGGTTTTTGCGTTGTGAACCGCGCGCGCGCGCGCGCGCGCGAGTGGTGCCAGTGGTGAGATTACGTGGTGGTGCAGTTGTGAAAGGGGGGGGGGGGAGGCCCCGTTGAGATGCCGTGGCTGCTCAAACTACGGACACGGGATTAGTTTGGTGAGCAACAAAACAATTTTTCTATACATCTCTATCTATCTATCTATCTACCTGTTTATATACGCGCGTTTCTCCTTCTCTCTCTATCTCTGTATTTTTTTTTTCTTTTTTCTTTTCGCTATGTCCGTCTCGCTCTCTCTCTCTCTCTCTGCTTCACGACCGCGAGATTCCTTCTTCTATTTCCTTTCTTTTCGATCTCGCGCTCTCGTCCCTCACCCCGCTCTACTCACCGACCCACTTCTTCCTCAACCGCCACCGCGGTTGCTGCTCATTGTCGCCGGCGCGAGCTTCGCCGCGCTCCCTCCCCCGCCCGCCCGGCCCGATTATTTTAGACGATGACGCGCCTACGTACTCGCTCCGCGATGATGGTGACTCTCGGAGCACCGCGGCACGACCTTATCCTTGTATATTCCAGCGCGCCGCATTCCAGCGTCGCGCTGGCAGCTCTCGCGCTCGCGCGCGCGCGCGCACGCGAATGCAAATCCACCGCTCCTCGCATTGGATGTTGTTTCCAGGTAGAGAGAACGACGCCGGTTTCACGCGGATTCCTCCTACGAGATCGCCTACGAAGTCGCCGGATCGTTAAGAGACCGCGGAGGTTTCCGGTGGGATCAGAAAGATCCCGCGCCGGGTGGTCTCGCCCGAAAACGATCTCGCGGACGAGGTATTTTCCCCTGTGATCTCCAGCATACCTGGCTCCCCCTCCCCTGAGGGAAGGAGAGGGACTCGCTCTAATCTATGGCACCGGTGGTGGTCGATGGGAGACGACGCTCGCTCACGAGTGTGTTTATTCGGCGAGAGGAGATATATACTTTTGCGTACGCTCCGATATACCATAATGCACCGGGAGGAATGCAAGCGTGACCGAGCCTTTTTTCACGCGCGAGTGCGTATCCATCGGTAAAATTCATCTGTCCTTGAAAGACAGGCTGTGCGCGCGCTCGAAGAAAGGATCTCTCTCTATACGTATGTATGTACATACGTATTACTTAACGCGCACGAAAGAGAGAGAGAGAGAGAGAGAGAGAGAGAGAGAGAGAGAGAGCCGCGAGTGCTCCGAGATAGGCGGTTGGTCCAGCAGCGAGCGGGAGGCTGCGCGGCGGCGGCGGCAGCAGCAGACAGCTTGGCTCTGGTCCCACCAACCTTTCTTCCCCGTCTCTGCATTCTCTCTTGGTGCTGCCAGGGCCGCACGAGGGACGAGGCCCCCCTTTGAACGGGCTGGATTCTTTACCGAGCGAACCACCATATTGTATCCCGCTGTCATCTGCGAGTCGGAAGACTCGCGTAATCGGAATTGTGTGTTGGATTAATCTTCAACGTTGCGACCTTGCATTATTGGAAAATCCCGATAACAGACCCCTCGCCGTTTTCTTCACTTCTTCATCAAATAGATTATTAAATAGCATTGAATATGTGTGATGTTACAAGAGATGCGTGAAAGAGAGGATGATGGGTTTGACGATGAAAAATGTTAAAATTGAAATCAATGAAATTTTGTATCTCGAATATTATAATTAGTGGTGGCAAGAGAAATATTAATTACTGAATAAATAGCTTATTATAGTCTTATCTTCAAATTTAATCGTTCAAAGAATTCAATAGCTGAGAAAAAGCGTGAGATTTTTTTTCTTTTTAAATTAGCGGTATTTATAAGATCTTTCTAAATCGTTCAAACCTTTTTGTTTTGGGAAAACGTGTGTATAAATGATTAAAAATGTTAGAAAATGTAAAGGATCTTTTTCTTCTGTGCTTTGTAAGAAGGTATCATATTCGAAGTTTCTCAGAAAAGAATTATTATCGTGTAGTATTGCTATTAATGAGAATACCGAATGTGCACGAATACTGAGAACTCGACGCGAGTTTGTGTGCCTGTTTTATATAAAACCAAGAAGAGGAAAATATATCGCGGTCAATTACGAGAAAAGCGATATTTTGCCAATAATCTTCTTAATGCCTTCATTATATATCATAATTTATTCAAATGCCTCGGATGTTCTTGTATTGAATTTTACTTATCGTTAGAACATTTCTATTAGATTACTTCTTTCCCTGTTTAACTAATACTAAATGTTTGTTCCGACTTTCTTGCACTTTTTTTTTATATAAGAATTACATGATCGAGATCTATAATTAAAACGTGATTTTCTAACAAAAATGTCGAATCTACAACACTTTGTGTTTTCGAGACTTTAATTTCAATTTTTATTTGATGTAAAGCGATGATTTTATTTTATTATGATACTTTTTTTGATAATTACAAAGAAAAAAGTAGATATATTTAAAGAAAAATAATCTAACTCTATGTATCTTAAATTTTATTAATTATTTCTTTAATTTTATTTATAATACTTTTCCGTTCAATGGCTAATGTCATTCTATATTTAAAAAGAATCTTTTCTCGGTACAACAACAAAAGAGAGGTTTGTTTTCTCTTCGCATCATCTGGCACTTCTCACGCATCTCTCGGATGTGCGATTTTATTTGATATTTTAGCGTAAACGCGTAATAGCAAGAGACGCGTCCGCCGTAGTGGTGGCAAGAGAAATATTAATTACTGAATAAATAGCTTATTATAGTCTTATCTTCAAATTTAATCGTTCAAAGAATTCAATAGCTGAGAAAAAGCGTGAGATTTTTTTTCTTTTTAAATTAGCGGTATTTATAAGATCTTTCTAAATCGTTCAAACCTTTTTGTTTTGGGAAAACGTGTGTATAAATGATTAAAAATGTTAGAAAATGTAAAGGATCTTTTTCTTCTGTGCTTTGTAAGAAGGTATCATATTCGAAGTTTCTCAGAAAAGAATTATTATCGTGTAGTATTGCTATTAATGAGAATACCGAATGTGCACGAATACTGAGAACTCGACGCGAGTTTGTGTGCCTGTTTTATATAAAACCAAGAAGAGGAAAATATATCGCGGTCAATTACGAGAAAAGCGATATTTTGCCAATAATCTTCTTAATGCCTTCATTATATATCATAATTTATTCAAATGCCTCGGATGTTCTTGTATTGAATTTTACTTATCGTTAGAACATTTCTATTAGATTACTTCTTTCCCTGTTTAACTAATACTAAATGTTTGTTCCGACTTTCTTGCACTTTTTTTTTATATAAGAATTACATGATCGAGATCTATAATTAAAACGTGATTTTCTAACAAAAATGTCGAATCTACAACACTTTGTGTTTTCGAGACTTTAATTTCAATTTTTATTTGATGTAAAGCGATGATTTTATTTTATTATGATACTTTTTTTGATAATTACAAAGAAAAAAGTAGATATATTTAAAGAAAAATAATCTAACTCTATGTATCTTAAATTTTATTAATTATTTCTTTAATTTTATTTATAATACTTTTCCGTTCAATGGCTAATGTCATTCTATATTTAAAAAGAATCTTTTCTCGGTACAACAACAAAAGAGAGGTTTGTTTTCTCTTCGCATCATCTGGCACTTCTCACGCATCTCTCGGATGTGCGATTTTATTTGATATTTTAGCGTAAACGCGTAATAGCAAGAGACGCGTCCGCCGATTTTAGCGTTTTAGCACTGAACGAAATCGAAAGTCGAGGACGACGGAAATACACATATCCGTTTATAACGTCCATCGATAATGCTGCGCATAAATATATTAACGCCTTCGAGAAACGTGCGTTTAAAGCCACTGGATAAAACCAGTTTCGTCCGCCCGCGCCCGGAAACTCTACCGTTAATGCACGTAACAAGTATGTCACGACACAAAACATTGTGTTGGATTGATCCCTTGAAATATTACCTATATCGTACGTAATAATCGTATATAAGATCGTCCCGGGCTTTGACGTTTAACGCGAGCGCGACTCGCGACCCTCTTTCAGAGGAGACACAAACCGCATGCGTTTACATCACGTATGCCATATCATAAACAAGCGATTCGATTAAAATAATATATATCGTAGAGGCAGAATTTGCTTTAACATAACATCCAAATCCATTGTAAATCCTTAGATCCGAATTTATAGCTTCTGACGAGATTTTCTAATAGTGGAAAGTTCCAGTGTTTTCCAGTGAATTTTATCTATATACATTCTCATTATTAATTCGAAATTAATATTCATATCTTTTCCGAGTCTATCATTTATCAATCTCCAATCGCGTGAAAAATCTAGAAAAAATATCGCATTATTAAATAGAGATACTAATATTACGTACATTTACATACTATTACTATCATTAAATCTTGTCAATTCATCGAGTCATTATATGCGATTCTTTAGCAAGCTATACTTATTGTGAAATATTCACGCGAACGTTTTATCATCTTTTTTTTGCATCCCTATTCGCGGTTTTATTGTTACTCTCTAATGAGAATGAAAATTCTTATATGCGATTCTTTAGCAGGCTATACTTATTGTGAAATATTCACGCGAACGTTTTATCATCTTTTTTTTGCATCCCTATTCGCGGTTTTATTGTTACTCTCTAATGAGAATGAAAATTATAGAGTACAAATTAAATCCAGTAAACGATCAGGTGCAATTAATTAGAGGTGCACTTTCAATTAAACATTGATTTAATCGACAATATATAAGGTATCTTGAATGTATCATCGGATAATATTGATAATATGTTATGGAACTTTAGATATACAAAGAACACCTCTCTTATAATACACAATCTCGCCGTCTCTACACTTGTCATCAAGTTTACTCATCTAATCCGTGTCGAAAGGTTTCGAAGATATTTTCGAATCACCGTATATAAGATTGTGAAGAAAAAACGCTCGATGGTCGAGACTAAGAGAAAGCGATTACTTTGAAACAGAGCCTGATTCGACGAATCCCTCAACATTCATTGGCGGGCCTAGGAACCGTTGACCAATCGAATCAGACCCTGAGCCTTCTGAAAGATCTCGCCTCTTCTGCTGAGTCAGAGAAATTATGCAGCGCTTCGCTAACTAAAATTTCCGATAGCAGGTGAACTCCGAGAGACGAACCGAGAAAATTAAATAATCGCTCTTGTTCGAAAAAAAAAGAGTCAGGGAAAAGACGGCTTGATAAGATTCGTTATCATAACTTTAGCGCTCTTTTTATTAAGAATTTATTGAGGATATTTTCGTCTTCATTGTATTCCAACATTGATGTCTAAATTTCTTTAATAATGTTGTGTTGTTTAAGCATTAAAAAAATATTTTTCTTTGTAGAGTAAATCGGTTGAAAACACCGGAGAAAGCAAAATGAATTTATTTAGATTGCACTGACTCATTGTAATGATTACTTTCAAATATAAAGATGCATCCGTTGCCTCAGGGGATTATGATTTATCTCTGAAAACGGTTGTCCATCCCTTCCACAAATTCTTTCGACCTGGTCACATTACTTAATGAACTCCTCAGTTCTACTATCGCCCTGCTAGGTAAAAGGTGCCTTCTTCAGTACCTTCCGTAACCCCCCCATAGAAGCCCAGCTGGTAGAAGATACTCGAGGCAGTTGCCGTTGTGTTGAAACCGTATCGTATTAATTATTTACACCTAATTCTAAGCATATTCACATTTCTAATTCCGATGCAAAACAACGAAATTTATAAACAAGAGAAAAGAGGAACAATTATATATAATTTAAATTAATAAATTGCGCTATATAATCGTGTAAATTGATCATTCTTAATTACGTATGTGATAATAGTTTAAAATTATTCGATATTGAACAAGTTTCTATCTGTGCGAAACCGTAATCTTCAATAGTAGTAAGATTTAAAAATGTTTTTCTCTCCCTTTCTTTCTTTCAATGTAAGATACATCTTTTTACAAAAGTGTTAAGACTTGGAATGTACAATCGTTTTGCAGCAGTTATTTATTATTCGTTGTTTAATTGAAATCCTTCTAACATGTTCCTTTTATTTGTATTTTCAGGGAGGTAACGCGTCAAGTGAGTGACGACGTCACGATGCGCATGTCGCCGCTGCTAAGATTAGTGCTCGTGGCAGCAGTCACGCTGCTAACAAGTGCGAATGCTAACACAGAGGCGGGTCTACGCATCGACACGAACACGGCTGTGTCGTCATCGTCGTCGTCATCACCATCACCATCATCTTCATCGTCATCATCATCATCTTCGTCGTCGTCGCATCGCTTCAGTGCGGTGAATCGCGGACAAGTGATCGCCGGGATGGAGGCTAGCCTGCTCTCCCTCCTGGGCTTCAAGAAGAGACCCAACCCGCAGGGCTCGTCGCACGTCCCGGACTCGCTGAAGAAGCTCCAAGCCCGTCAGAACATGATCGGCATCGCGGACATCGCGAAGCCGGGCATTCACGCGCGATCGGCCAACACCATTCGCTCGTTTCCGCATGTCGGTGAGTGTTGGCTCTTTATATATTCTGTACGAATCAAGGGGAGATAGAAGAAGATAAAGAAGAGAAGTAAAGAAACAGATCCAGGCTGTCTACTCTCTGGAAAACCTGGAATTCTTAGAGATTTCTTTCTTATCTAGAATATTCAGAGAATTTTATATGGAATTTCATTGGTATTCAAGGCATTTTTTAAAATTTTCTCTTTGATAATTTTGTTTCTGTATTGCAAGCAATCGATAATCCATTGATTGATTACAAATTGTGAATTATATGCGTTAAAAATAATTATTAAATATATATGAATTAAATATATATATTTATAAATCTAATATCTCAGCAAAATATCGATTAATTGTGTGTGTTTAATTTATTAATTAACTTATTTTTAATTATTATTAATTATCTAATTCATTAATTTGCTTAAATGGCTCTTTTTTAGCATTAGAAAACGCACACAATAAAAAGGTATTTTTTAAAAAGTTATTTTAAAAAGTTGCATTGAATTTTATAGGAATTAAAAAAAAATACATGGAAGATCAGAGAATTCTCAGCGTATTTTTCTACACGATTTGAGTAGACATCCTGAACTTGCACATATACATGTATATTTCAGAAATGCAGCTAAGATTCTTATATAAACATACATGTGTAAAAGCCACACTTTGATCAAAGGGATCCAGTGAGATATGAGATGTTTTTGCTCGTTCCTTTTGGCTTTTCACAGTTTAGTATTTATCTGAAAATATAACTTTTTCGAGGAACAATGGAATAATATTAGTAAAAGGATTTAATTAATTCCGTCAACATTTATGTATCGATCACTAATATATAAACAAACTCCTTCGGCTATAAATGAACAATATTATAATTACATGTAATGAGAATATAAATATTCAAATTTTCTATTTATAAATATATATTATACATGTTGACAGAATAGTTTCTCGAGGTAGAGATCATGATTTATTAATCTTATATCTATATATGATTCATTTCTTTTTGAATTCGTTGCTTTAATATTTCCCAAAACGATAATATATATATATACATACAGGATTGACCCTACTGTATAATAAAATAAAAGACTTCACCGTACATTTTTCGCGAATCGTGAATCATTGAATGATGTTAAGAACTAGCAAGTTGGGATTCGTAATTCTCGAAAACAGGTTGGCGACTCTTTCGACTCTCAGTGAAAGTGCAGTAGTAAATATGTGGAATGTAATTGCGCCCGTTATCAATCGTCATTGGTTCTACGTCCTCGATAAACGTGTATGACGAATTTCCATACGAGTTGCGCTTTGTCGATTCAATATCTCCGTACATTTTCTTACATATTAATACTTTTGCACTCCGATCATCTATAATCCTCGCGCGATTATCCGATTTTGTATATATTAGATTTTTCTTAAATTATTCATTCTTTTATATAAATAACGATAGCAAGTACATACTGTGATCAACGATATGCAATTTGAGGGAGGGGGAGACATTTTATTCCATAAATTACAAGTTTATTTTAAGCATACTTGACGTAATTAGCGTAATTGACAGTAGAATAGTTAAATAAATCATTAAAAGGTTTATTTTAAATTGCTTCGCGCAGGAAATAATTCCTTCTCTCTGTCAAAAAAGATATATGCTATCATATCCCATAAAACAATTTGTAGATAAAATCTCGCACATACATATTTAAAGAGAATTCTTCTACCAAAAGACTATTCATAATTTATTTAATAATTTGTTTAATTAAACCAATAATATATACCTATAACTGGTTGCATATACACATCTATAAAATCCTCTAACTTACAATCAGCTGTTCCAATATTTGTGGAGTTTGCTACAGATTAATAAATAAACGAGAGTATAAATTATAAAACTATCAGTTTTTTTTTGTCAAAGTATTTCAAAAGTTAAAACTAAAAAAAAATATATATTAATATTTTACTAAAAATATCAATAACTAAAATTTCTTAGAAAGAGTGAGTTCCTTCCACAAATTCAATAGACATAATAGTGTTGTGTGTTTGCGCGACTCGCCTCCCGTGTGAAGAAGAAAAGAATGGCATCCGAACGATTTCATGGTTTTAACCGACAAAGGGCCCTTGGGCCACGGCGATCGTCGAAAGCGTGCCGTGGGGTCCTTCGACAAAAAAGGAAAAAAAAAAAGGAGTCAGCTCCTTACATGCTCTATCTCGCTCGCGTGGGTACGCTATCGGCCTGATGATGATACCACGTTGGAATG